TTAAACTAGGAAGTTAAAAGATACTGATTTCTAAAATAATATCTAACAATTATCATAATTATATTTCTCCTCTAGCAGTAATAATAGCTTACCTTTGCAGACATTGCCATTAACCACTTTCACTTTACCCCTAGCGTCACTCAAGTATTGCATTTGTTTACATACCGACTATCCAGAGCTTCACTCTGGCAGGTGTCATTTCAACCAGTTGATTCTTGTATGAAATAAATTTGATAAAATTGTCTTTGATATTTTCTGTTATCTTATAAAAATAATGAAAAAATATTCCATTTTAGTCATCTGTATTTTAAATAATTGGACTGGTAAATTAAGAACTGCCTGGGGCTGGGGATTTAGCTCAGTGGCTCTCCCGCCTGCTTCGAAAGCGCAAGGACCTGAGTTCGATCCCCGGTACCAAAAAAAAAAAAAAAAAAACTGCCTGGACTCATATTCTAGGTTTGCTATTTATGAGCTGAGTAATCTATTTGTGCCTCAATTTTTACATCTGTAAAATGAGGATGATAGTAACTAAATCTGTGCCTCAGTTTTCTGATTCGTAAGTGATGATAGTACTATCTACTTCATGAAAAATGAAGATTAAATCAGTTAAGTTTCCAATATTTGCAAATAACACTTTCTATTATTTTTGTTCTTCAGTTTATACCTTACTATTTTGAGTAGAACATCTGCAGGCAGCAGAACCACTGAGCTAAATCCCCGGCCCTGATTAATTTTGAATCACTTCTCGGCCTTTTGGCTAAGATCAAGTGAAGTAATTTTGAATAATTTATTTTTAAAAAATTAATTTGTATGTATTGTTTTAGGGGTATCTAACTATCAAGTAGAAGAAGATATAGGAAAATTGAAGTCCTGTCTCACTGGCTTCCTTCAGGAATATGGATTATCTGTAATGGTGAAAGATGATTACGTCCATGAATTGTGAGTATTCTTCAGGGTATATAAGAGATAAACTGCGTGTTGTAAAGCTAATCTAAGTTCATCTATGTTCTTTCTTATAGTTGCCGATATGGAGCTGCTGAGCCACACACCATTGCTGCATTCTTGGGGGGTGAGTTCCATAGATAAGGCTTATCTGTTAGTTACATAATACTGTTACTACATATTTCAATACCAAGTTTTGTTTCCATAGCTATTTATTTAGGGCAGTCAGTGTGTCAGGATGTCACATTAAGTTTAGATGATTTGGTAGCAACCTGCCGCCACCCCCCCACCCAAATACTGGTCTTCCTACTTCTGTCTCTCCCCCTTCATCCATCTTAAGTGCTTGGAGAGTCATTAGTCCTTCTGAAGAATAGTCTTGATCATGTTTCTCACTTAACTGTCTGTACCACCAGTGCTTGCACGCACGCATGCATGCACATACACACATGCTGTCATACTTAACACTTCTTCTCTTCTCTCTCCAGCAAACCTCAGAAGCACGTCTTGGGACTTTAGCTTGATATCAGAGACCCTGTGTTCTGGTTCCACATACCCTTTCCTACTCCTATAGCTTTACTTTGCTGGGCTTCTTTGCCTCAGAAATCTATTTTTGCATGTCCAAAACCTTTCTATTCTTCAGGGCCTAATTAAAAGGTGCTATCTCTTTCATAAAAACGTTATTTCTTTCCCTCCCTCACTCTGCTCCTCCTCGTCTTAGTTCAGGCTACTATAACAGAATAACATGGACTGGGTGTCTTATAAACAGCAGAAATTTATTTTTCACTGTTCTGGACATCTGAGATAAGGGTATCAGCAGGATCAGAGTCTGGTGAGAATCCACTTCCTTATTCATAGATGCCTTCTTGCTGTGTCCTCACATGATGGAAAAAATTGCAAGAGAATTCTCCAGGATCTCCTTTATAAAGGCATTAACCCATTCAGTAGGTCTTTATCCTTATGACCTAATCTCCCTGTGGCCCCAGCTCCTGATACCAGTCACATTGAGGGGTTAGGCTTTCAACAGATGAATTTGAGGGGTAAAGAATGATGACACATTCAGTCCATAATGCCCTCAAAAACAAACAAAAACTTATTCTCCAGCCAGTGACCTTTTATAGACTGAGCCATTTGCTTGTGATATTTTCCTTCTAGATGATTAATGGCTTGAAAGTAGACCCAGGTCTGATTAATACTTAGTGTTCCAAATGCAAATGAATGATACAGAGCTAAGGAAACTGTATTCTAAGAAAACACAAACTAAAGCCTGAATCTGGAAAATTTATTTTAAATAAAACCAGTCTCATGCCTAATAGAAAACCTGCCAGTTCATAGAAAAGGGCAAATTTATCAAAGAAGAGACACAACCAGAGAGAGTAGATTACTTCCTATAGCAGAAAAAAGTATAAATTGAAGTTTTTATTTCTGTGTTTTATACTTATTTTGAACAGTGTTGTTATATTCCCTCACATTCTTCAGGATAGGCAATGTTACCCCTCTGTGAGGCCATCCAGATTCTAAAACTGAGCCCTCTCCTTGGACTCACGTCTTCTTACCTATTCTCCTTAGCACTGAGGATTGTTTTTTTGTTTGGTTTGGTTTTTTGGTTTTGTTACTGTTGTTGTTGTTGTTTTGCAGTACCAGGGATTCAACTCAGGATCTTGAGCTTGCGAGACAGGCACGGTGCCACTGAGCTAAGTCCCCAGCCCTTCTTTTTTGGTTTTTTGAGGCAGGGTCTCCCTTGGTAGTTCAGGCTGGCCCTGAAATCACTGTGTAGCCCAGGCTGGCCTCAAAGTCATGCCGATCCTCCTTCCTCAGCCTCCTGAGTGTTGGGATTACAGGCATGTGCCACCACATCTGGTGATCATTTTATTATTTGTAAATTATTTCTCTCTCACTGCTAGAAAGTAAGGTCCATAAAAGCAAGTAGCAGATTCTTTTGTATTTTGTTGCCTGCTGTATCATGAGTCTGAAGTTTTATGTTGTCATTGAATGCTTTCGGAAAGAAGCATCTTCAGGTTATAAAAGATGCAGAACTTTATTTGTGGTGTTTTCTTTTGTCTTTTGTTTAGAATAATTATAGCAGGTTGGCAGTATTTAATATAGGTCCTTTTGAAGTTACAAATATATAAATAAATATAACTATCTTTATTATTGTAAAAGTAAAATAGGCACAAGGTAAAATTCAAATTCAACATAAGGGTGGTTTTTTGTTGAATCTTTTATGCCTCTATATATCCTTTTAAAAAGTTCCATCAACCAAACTACTACTGTTTAAACTTTATTTTGTTCACTTACTGTATCTTGCCAGTGTTTTTACACTACAATAAAAATACTCCATTCTTTTAATTTGTGGTGTAATAACCAATTGTGTTACTAACTCAAAACTCATTTCCTTTAATGCCACAATTATAAGGAATGGTAGTTTTCTATTTTGATATGACAGTAACCTATGTCTGTTTTGGGTTGCTTTTGAACATTGCTTATGGAAAGGTTTCTTTACAGAATTGAGTAATTTTAACTATTGACATTTTCTTCTTTCAACAATTTGCTTTTCTTTTTCTTTGCAGGAGCTGCTGCTCAAGAGGTTATTAAAATAGTCACCAAACAATTTGTAATTTTTAATAATACCTACATTTATAGTGGCATGTCACAAACTTCTGCAACTTACCAGTTGTAGATTAAGCACCCAGTATACTGTGTTAATGACTGAAATTGTAATTGTTTTCAGTAAAATTACTGTACAGTCTAATCTGTAAAATTATGCTGAAGGACAGCTGTTAAATTGTTTCCTCAATAAACATTTTTCTCATTTGTAATAATGTAGTGTTATTTGGAAGGGAGGGGAAAGGAAGCACTCATTTTCCCAGAGAATAAGTTATCCATTTCTCATTGAGTTCATTGTTACTGGCTTGTTATTTCAGTTACTTATCATAGGTTATCTTTATTTCACTAAATAGCCTAAAATATTCTTTCACTACCATCTTAAATAATGAATTTTAGCTACATGGGGATTTTAGCTATGGACACTTTAGGACCATCATTATTTGTTAAAAATGAATACAATGTAGTAGGAAACATTACAGAATATGTAGTTTTATCAGAAAACAAAACCAGCGACTTGTGTGCAGAGGCATCTTAACAAACTTAGGTTTTGGCACCAACTTCTTGAAATTTTGTAGGGTTGTTCCATCTATATTATGTTAATCTTCATTTGAAGATTAATGACATTGGATTATTACTCATTAGATGGACATAGATGCAAACTGGAAATCCAGAAGGGGGAGGCAGGGCTCAGTTTCTGACTTATATATGGCTAAGGAATGACTCAGAGCCTTAAGGACCCTAAAGGGGCAGCAGGTCAATCTCTTTTAAAGGCCAGTGTCTCCTAAGTAAGAAACTGCTACAGTTTGTAATAGCTAAAGCTTGGAAACAGCCCGAGTGCCCATCAACTGGAAACTGGATAAAGAAGATGTGATTTTTTAATAAAATGGAATACTACTCAGCCATAAAGAAGGAGAAACTAGAGACATTTATAGCTAAATGGATCCATATTGAGGCCATCCTCTTAAGTGAAATAAATAGGACACACGTGTAAATACCAAATAGTTTCTCTAGTGTGAGAAACTGAAAGTGTAAATAAGAGTTAAAATGATTAAAACGAATAATTGATAATTTGAAATAGGAAGAAAGTATCCAAAGGGGTAGGGGAAGTGGGAGGGGAAGGAGAAAGGAAAAATTATGAGAAAAGGAAAAAATGGAAACAGTCTTTGTAAATAGGGATGGGTGGAGGGGGCTGAAGGGAGCACAGGGAATGGGGAAAAAATAACAAAGATACATAATGTACAGGTACAAGCACCCAATGATAAATGTAAATGTATACCTAAAATGTACCAATAAAAGAATTTAAGCTAAAAATAAAAAAAAAGGAAACTGCTAAATTTGTCAAGGGGGTGCTTCGCAGAGATGTGGGTTTTTGGGCCCCTAATGGGTCAAACTCTTACCAGCTGATCCTTCCCACAGCCAGCATTGTCTCCTAACAGTAAATCACTTCCATCTCCCAACTCTCCCATGGGGTGAATTTTATTAGAGGAGGCAAGAGGCTTTAGCACGGATAGGCCTTGACCCTGTGAGAGCCAGGAACCCTGGTCTTTGGGTCTAGCCAGAGAAAAAATGTTGTTGGCCTCAACTGAAGCTGCCTGTGAGGTGGCGACCTGGGGCAACAGTGTGGCAAGTGGCAAGGTTGCCCCTTAATAGATTGTCCAACGCAAAAGACGGCCTGGTGTGCTGGGAAGGTAAGGAGTGAGAGGGTCCGCCCTGTTACCCTGCGCATGTGCCATACTCACAGGCCACTGCCACTGTACTTGAGCGGGGCTTTGTCAACCCGAATCCTGATTTCCTTTGGGGCTAACACCTTTCTGAGGAAAGGAAGACCTTAAAACCAGGGGCAGTGAGATTAGGGGATATCCCCTTCAAATCGTGACTTTCCTCCATTAAAAACCTCCACACCTGCCCACTGGCTGGCTACCCTAGGGAATTTCTGGAATCAGGGACTTGCTGGAATTCCGCCTGGGGGCGGGAGTTCCTCCCGGAAGTCCCGCCCCCAGAGGAAGTGAGGCTGGCTCACTAGGTGGGAAACCCGGTCAGGCGTCGAGCAAGGTAGGCGTGCAGCATGGGAAAAGTGGCAGCCTCTGGGAGCGCTTCGCCTTTAGAGTAAAGGCCAAGGCCTTCACTCCTGCTCCTTCCAGCCTTGCTTTAGCAGAGCCTGTTGCTCCTGCGGAAGGCAGGCTGCACAGGCCGCCCAAGACCCCACACAGCAGCTCCGAAGCGGTTCCACTTTGCGGGTCCCACTTACCAGCCCACTTGAGGGAACAGGTTGAGCCGAGGACACAGGGTTGTCATCCTGAGCAGGCACCAGATTCTGGAGCAGCCTCCACGGCCTGGAAAAGGTCATTGCCAGGCACCATTTAGTCTGGCGTCTGTACACCTTATGTGCACTGTGTGTCACAGGCCTCTGGTTCCTACCCAGGTGAATCTCTTGTAAGGAAGGAATGGGGTCCACAGGTGAGATCATTTCACTGGCTGAGCAAGGGCCGCTTGTCCATCTCCGCCAAGACTGGGGCCAGACCATCCTCCTACCAAGAGCCTGGTCGGAGAGGAGCCAGAGAGGCCATCTGTGCTCTTCCAAAGGAGGTCTTCAGCTCTTAAGGGTAGTCAGGCGCTGGTGTCAGTGAGCAGAAATCTTGGGAGCAGGGTGGAGTTAGACTGATTTTGGGGAGATCGCGAGTTATCTGTGGAACCTGGGTGAGGCAAAAGGGCATTGTGCTCTCATCTGCTGTTAATATTGTAGAGCTAGCTGACCCAGCGCGTTTTCTGGGACCTGAATAACTTATTTCACAATCCATTTAAACTATTGTAGCAGAACATTTATACAGTTTTGCAAACTGCAAACCTTTGTCCACCTTGCATCTCCTTTAAAGGGCATTTTGCTGTGATGTATGATTCTGAGGTGGCTATCCATTGTCAAATTAGTGATGCCAATTAGGGGTGAAATTTTTTCCCCTGCCAATCTTACACAGAAAGATGGCTTTTGATACATTTTCTAGGTTAGGTAAATGAATAAAATTTAAGGGCTGAGGATATGGCTCAGTGGTAGAGCATATTCATACCACGAGTGAGGTTCTTTGTCCTATCCCTAGCATCAAAGGGTTAGGGGAATAATGTTCAACTAGTTTTCATACTGAAATTTGAATGTGAATTAATAGTCCTGTTCTAGAGGGTAGATTGAGTGAAACCTATAAGTAGGATAACTGTTACATGGAAAACTATAAAAGATTTAAAGTCTCATTGTTGGTGACAGTTTGCAGCCATTTATTAAATTACTGAAAACACTTCATAATCTGCTTTATTTGGCAGCTGTTTTTCTACTCAGAAATAGACCATACTTGTTTTATAATTTTAAATAGAATTTTATAATTACCAATCCCTTTGTACTTGGCTTATAAATAACTTGTATTATTGCTACTATGTACTTGGCAAACTCTTATTTTACTGTGCAGAGTAGCCATTTATTAAAAAAGAATATAAAAAGACAGGAAGAAAAGGTAGTGTACTGTATGTTGTCAGTTTCAATTTCCAGACGTTTAGATTTTAAAGTTATACAGGGGCTGGAGATATAGCTCAAGTGGTGAAGTGTTGTCTAGTATGTGCGAGGCCCTGGGTTTGATCTCCAGCACTGCAAAAAGAAGTGAAAAGAAGGGCCGGGGGTTTAGCTCAGTGGATTTCGCCACCTGCTGCGCAAGCGCAAGGACCTGAGTTCGATCCCTGGTACCAAAAGAAAAGGTGAAAAGACAAAATTTGTACATTAGCCCTTGTTGAAAATAAAACAGAGCCAGGTGTGGTGGCACATACCTGTAATCCCAGCACTCAGGAGGCTGGGGCAGAAGGATTGCCTCAAGATCTAGGCCAGCCTGGACTACACAGCAAGACTCTCTCTCAAAAAACCAAAAAATAAATAAAATAAAATTATATTAAAAGCAGAAGACTGGCTGATTAAGAAAATAATCTTTAAGCTTCCCCACAAAACAAAAACATCTTCATATGATACAACTGCCCATTTTTTAACAGTTTGATTTTTTTCCCCTATTCTGAGAATCAAACCCAGAGCCTGGCAAATGTTGTACAACTGAGCTGCATGAATCTCCAGTGCTGAACAAAGAGGCCACATTGAAATTGTGCGGTGCAACCTTATTTGATTTGATTTGTGGTGCTAGGTATCAAAGTAGGGCCTTGTGGATGCTAGGCAGGCACTCTGCCAATGAGTTGTATGCCCTTAGCCCCTCATTTAAAAAAAAAAAATCTAGTTTTCTTTTTCCACATCCTTTTTTTTTTGGTACCGGGGATTAAACTCAGGACCTTGCGCTTTCGAGGCAGGCACCAGAACCACTGAGCTAAATCTCTGGCCCTTCCAAATCTTAACTCATTTGCCCAAAGATAATATGTATTTATACTATATATGGGAGACTTATAATGGAGGAGAAATTTTCCTGTCAGCTTTGAATGTTCTTGGTTTCCATTCCAACCCAGCTGTTTGAACCTGGGCAAGTAATTTACCCTTTTCTTATCAATCTGTTCATACAGCTCCCTCATAAAGTTATTGTGACAACTAAAAAGGTAGTATTTGTAAAGTGTAAAGGACAAAGTCCAGCCTACAGTAGGTTCTTACTCAATGTTAGAAGTCATTATTATTCTAAAGATTGCAAAAAATAAAAAATACTAGAACAACAGCCATAGAACCATCTTCTCAAGATAACTGTTAATAATGTGGCTGTCTTTCCATCCAGTTTTATGTTTGCCTCTATCTAGTTGGTACCATATTGTAGATAAAAGTTTGAATCTTCTTTCCTCTTTATGGTTAACTTTATATAACATAAGCATTTTTGGTTGCTGTTAAACATTTCTACTCAAGGTCAGTATTCTTGTAACAATATTCCATCCTGTGGATGTTCTGTAATGTACCTTGTCATTTCCTTTTTAAAGCAATATTATGTTAAAATGGCAAAACTAATATATATTCATATATTGACATAAAAATTTCATTTTTTTATTTCTTTAAGCCTCTTAGGGATTTTATTTTCATGTTGAAATAGAAAAGTTTAGAATTCTGCAATCCAAATTTGTTGTTCTATTAAATTAATTGGACTTTGATACATTTTATAAATAATCAATTTATCATTCTTAAGTAGGTATGTGAAAGACCATATCAGCATTTCCTCATTTTTCTGACAAGTGATGTGTACAGAAATTTTTCTAACAAATGATGTATACCAAAATTTAAGCTTAATAGTAGAATACCATGGCAACAATAATCATGGATTCTAGAAAAATTTAGTATTAAGCTTAGTTTGTGAAGAGAAATGGGAATCTAAAGAGTGTATGCCTGTGTTTTAAACTTGATTTATGCAGTCATGTCCAATTTGAAACTATGGAATAAAGATTTATAGTTAAAATAAGGAAGTGGAACCAAAAGAGGACCAGTTTATTTTAGTCATTCATTTGTTTAATAAAATTTGTTCAATGCCTAAAGTACTTTAAAAAGATGTGTTTACATATGTTTGAAACAACTCTATGAGGTAGGAATATCAATCCTATTTTACAGAGAGGGAAACTAAATCTCAGAGAATTTAGACAGCATGTCCAATATCACATATCAATAAGTTGCAGATTCAATTCCTTGTCTTCTGGCTTTAAGAAAACAATTCTTTTCCTATCTCCTTTACATTTGTATTTCTGGCATTCTTAAAATCCAATTTAAAATGAGAAAATACCTTTATCTTACAGATGAAATAAAAAGGAATAAGAATACAGACAAGCATGGAAAGTGAGGACACAGAGAAAATACAAGGTGAGAAATTCATGGATTATATATCTGCAATTACTTTTATAATATGTTTGTGGGTTATACTGCAGATTATCTGACAGCATCCAAGAATAAGTCACTTAGTAGTTTACATAAATATTTGAGCACCTGCTCTGTACCTATCACATAATACTGGCTTCAGGAAACTGACATGCAAACAGAAAGACATGCTGATACTTGGAATGTTGTATGATAGTTGTCTAATGGCACTATATAAAGTAATTGTAGGAACCTGAGAGGACCATTGTCAAAGTCTGCAGGGAGGTACAGTGTCACAATTGTTCTCAGAAAAATGGAAACTGAATACAAAAAAGAGTGGGAAATAGTGTTCCTAATGTATGCCAACACAATGGTTTAGCTAAAGAGAGCACTCTCAAAAAAAAAATGAAGGAAACATTTCAGGAAGGAGAAAGAGTCGAAAGTGTGATGTCTTGGAAATCAGAGCCTTAAGAGAATGTTTCATGAGAAAGAAATTGCATAAGAGTATCTGTACTACATCACAGATGGGGACTGAATTATTCACTGGATTTTGCCTTTAGAATGTCATTCAGTTTATTAACAGCTGGGCATAGTAGCACACACCCTGTAATCTTAGCTACTTGGGAAACTGAGAGAGGAAGATTACACATTTAATGCCAGCCTGGGCAACTTACTAAGATCCTGTCTAAAGATTTAAAAAATAATAAAAATTAAAAGTTTTGAGGATACAGCTCAGTGGTAGAGGATTTGCCTAGCATCTCCAATACTGAGGAAAAAAAAGATTTAATAGAGATCAGCCAGATTGCAGTCCAGTATATTTAGGTCCAAGTGGGAAATGAAAATCTGAAGACAGTATGAGCACATTAGTCTTTTAAGAAGTTTGACCAAAGGTGTATGATGGCAGTAGCTAGAGGGAAGTTCCAAAGTCAAGTCAAGGGAATCTCTTGGGGTGCTTTTTTTTTGGAGTCAGAGTCTTGCTATATTGCCCAGACTGACCTAGAACTGGCCTCAATGGATCCTTCTGCCTCATCCTCCCAAGTAGATGGAACTATAGGTGTCTGCTGTTGTGCCCAGCTTGTCAAGGGAGTCTTAGAAGATTATAGAGACAAAGAATTTTTGAAGAGAGAATTAGAGATTCTGGAGAAGAAAAAGTTGAAGAAGCTGGAAAGACATAATTGTTGGTGATACCTCCTCCATTTATCATGCTTCCCCCCTATATCTCTTTCATTTTATATTTCTCACTCTCATTCTCTTTCATTTTATATTTTAATTTGGTTTACCGCAAGAAGTAGACCTTGAAACAGGGATTTAGGTTTAAGTAGTTTTCAAGAAAATAATCCTAGTAAACATTAGCTGTGAAGTAAGAAACTTAGATAGGAAGGGAAAGGTAGACCAAAGAGTACATTATCAAATTATTATGGGTATTGGAGCTTAGTCTTTGTAGGAAGCTGTGGAACTTATATCCATCCCTGAGTTATCCCAGCCAAAAGGTGAAGGGTTTTTATCTGTCATCTCCCATCATTTGTTTGTTTAGTAACAGCTTGAAGTGGTATCTAATTGTGTGTGGTTTTGGTTTGTATTTTCCTTATGAGTAATGTTGTATTTCTTCTCATATACTTATTGGCAATTTATCTTCTTTGGAGAAATGTGCATTCAAATTCTTTGTATAGGTTTTAATTAAATTGTCTTTTTTATTATTGAGTTTTAAGAATGTAAACATTCTGAACACAATCTCCTTATTAGATATCTGATTTATAGATATTTTCTTCTAGACTAGGCTCTCTTTTCACATTTTGGATGGTATGTTTTAAAGCTTGAAAGTTTAATTTTTTTTCTTTTTTGAGATAGTGTCTCACCATGTAGTTCAGGCTAGCCGTAAATTCATTGTGTAGCCCAGGCTGGCCTCCTTCCTCAGCCTCCTGAGTGCTGGATACCATTCCTATCTTAAATGTTTTATATGGCATCCAGAAGAGGCTTTATTAGGACTATGCTGTAAAGAGGAACAGTGCACTGATTGTTTTAAATTTTAAACTTAATTTATCAGATTTCCTATTGTTGCTTATACTTTTGGTATCATATTTACTTTAGTTTTTGTTTGCTTGCTCTCTTCAGGAATTTTTAAAGGAACCAGCGGCTCAGCCTAGAGATGACAAAACCAAGATGAAACATACTAGTTTAGATGTCACTAGGTGCTTTGGCTGGGAAGGGAAGGTGTATGATAGGAGATCTAAAAGTATGACAGGGAAGTACAGGTTATAGAGAAGTACATAAAGAAGTTTTGTGCACCCTGCATTGTGCCTTGAATTGAAAACCACTATTTCCATCGCAGGTTTTATTTGGCATGTTGTTGATGTTACTTATTGATAGCTAAGTAACATATTTAACTTAGTTTTTGTTAATGTCTTAAGTGATCACATAAATGTTTGCTCTTGCCTCAAGACAAATTGGTAATAACTTTTGTACTATAGTTTTTCACTAACAAAATATTTCATTGAAACAAATTTTGAGTTGAATTTGTTTCAAGAGGAAGACTAAACATTGATTGATGATACATCTTAGTTTCCTATAATATGCTCCTGTATATTATTATGTCCACCCTTCATGCCGTATCTTTCAGAATCCTAAATGTTAATTCAAGCATTATACCAAAGTCTGTATATAACTTCATTTAAATACTGTTTGCTGTTTAGTTACAGTTTAAATTTTGATAACTTTGACATACGTATATAGCCGTGCAAACATCAGGATAATCAAGATGGTGAATATATCCTTCTGTCCTTGAATAACCTTCCCTCTGTCCCTTCCCAGGTGCTCTTTCCCTTCTTTTACCATAGACTAGTTTGTATTTTTTCAGTACATGGAATCATATAATATATACTTTTTTCTGTGGCTTCTTTCTCTCAGCATAGTTATTTTAAGACTCATCCATGTTACATGTATCAGTGGTTCTTTTTATTTACTAAGTAGTATTCCATTACATGGTTTAATATATGATTAAACTTTAATATATGATTTCAACTTCTCTCATATATGTAGTATTATTCAGGTTACTGTTTACTTCTGAGTTCTGGTGATTTATATCTTTCAAGCAACTTGTCACCTATGTCATTGATCTATAGGTATGAAGTTGTGTATAATGCTCTTTTTTACCTTTGGAATTATCTGTGGAATCTGTGATAATGCCATCTCTTTCATTCTTGGTATTAGTAATTTGTATCTATACGTGTTTTTTCCAAATCAGTCTGGCTAGAGGTTTATTAGTTTTCCTACTTTACTGATTTCAGGTTCATCTTTATAATTTTCCTTTATTGATTACTTTGGGATTAATTTACTAAAAAAAAAAGTAAGACTTTGGAATTAATTTGCTCTTTTTTCTTGTTCATTTGTTTTTTCTATACTTGGGATTCAACTTATGGGTGCCACATCTTCTGACCTTTTTAGTTTAGTTTTGTTTTTTTGAGGCAGAATCCAACTATGTAGCCCAGGCCGGCCTCAAACTCTTGGCTATCCTCCTGCCTCAGCCACCTGGGTGCTGAGATTACAGGTGTGTGCCACTACACCTGGCTCTTAGTTTTTGAGACTGGCTCTCAATAAATTGCCCATGCTGGCCTCAAATTTGTAATCTTCCTGCCTCAGCCTGCCAAGTAGCTTGAATTACAGGTGTGTGCCACAGCATCCAGCTTCTTTCTCTAGTTTCCTAAGGTGAAAGCTGAAGTCACCAATTTGAAACTCATATTTTCTAATTTAAGTATTTAGTGCTATACATTTCCTCTGAAATACTGCTTTAGTAGCATCTTACAAACTTTGATATGTTGTATTTTCATTCATTCCCTTCCTCTCTCCCTCCCTCTTTCCCTCCTTTCCTTATCCCTCCCTCCCTCCCTCTTAACTGATTTCCTTCCTTCCTTCCTTCCTTCCTTCCTTCCTTCCTTCTTTTTTCGGGACTGAGGATTAAACCCAGGGCCTTCACACTGGGCTACATCCCCAGCCTTTTTCAAAATTATTTATTTTGAGATAGGGTCTTGCTAAGTTGCCTGGGCTGGGCTCAAACTTGTGATCTTCCTGCTTTGGCCTCCCAGAGTGCTGAGATCACAGGTATGCACCACCACACCTGGTTCATTCAGTTCATTTCTAAATGGAAGATATTTAAACCAGTGTAGCCTTGCTTAAAGAGAATAATATTTATATTTACTATTCCTGTATTATAGGTAAGGGGAAAACCAAAGGACTATAAGAAGTTCATTTTAGGTTCTTTTATTAAAAGAACATCTTTGTTTTTATACATTTTTATTGTTTGTTAGATTATGAAAGTAATATTTTCTAAATGTCAAACATTCCAGTCAGGTGTGGTAGTATGCCTGTAATTCCAGCACCCAGGAGGCTGAGGCAGAATCATAAGTTTCAGGCCAGTCTGAGCTAAGTAGAAAATTCAAGGCCATCCTGGACTATATAGAGAGACCCTGTCTCAAAAAAGAAATACGTCAACATTGCAAAGATATATAATTAGAAAGCAGATTTTTGATGGTTAGTCTTTGAAAGAAAACTTAGGCTTAAAATAATGAAATTTTTCTTCTTCAGAAATGAAGACTGACCTGAACTTATTATTGGAGTGTCTAAAGTATCAAATGGACAACGCTTTATCACAAAAAGAAGCTTTGGTCACTATTTATTCAATTTGCCAACAAAACAGTAAGATGTGATAATGAATTTTTACCCACGATTCTAGTTTTTTAGTACTATAATATGTTAATTATGCATAGTTCTTTCTCTTCTCATTTACTCTAATGTTATATTCCTCATTTTTTTTTTACCCTTAATAGAATAACCTATACACACACCAACACACATACAAATAATTTCTATTTTGTTTTGTTTCTATGCCCTACAGGTGATGCAAGTGTTTATTTTCGGGAAATTGGTGGTTTGATGTTTATAAAAAATCTTGCAAAGTCAAGTAGGCACAGCATGGTAAAAGAAGCAGCCTTATTTACATTAGGAGCTGTTGCAGAAAAAAATGGTAAAATATAAAATTTTGTTATCCTTTAAGCATGTATTATATTTTACTCAAAAACAATTTTTTTTGACACAGGGTCTTGCTATGTAGTTCAGGCTGGCCTTGAACTCACTATGTAGCCCAGGCTGGTCTTCCAGCAGTCCTCCTGCCTCAGCCTCCCAAGTGCAGGTGTGCACCACCATGTCCAGCTAATAATTTTATAACTTAATTTCTTTTTTTATATATTTGAATAGTTTATCCAGGTACTTATATCAAAAGATGAAGATAATCCACAAGCAACATGTATACTTTGGGTACAGAAACTCATGTTAGCAAGAATACTTCTCTCAAAAAAAAAAAAGAATACTTTTCTCCAATATACCTGAAATGAGGTTGAATTTATACCATCAGTTAAACTAACTTTATATTTTTATATTTTCTTTAATTAAATATGTCTTCATCAACTTCTAAGAATCAGATTCTGTACTAGAAATTGAGGATACAAGGGAAAAATAATCTAGACTTTACCTTTGAGAGAGGGTCCAAAACTGGTTCTAGGCACTGGAGAGAAGGCCAATTGTATCACTGTATTCAAATTATTATTTTTATTTTTTAGTGCTGAAGATTGAACCCAGGGCCTCACACATGTAAGAATATACTCTACCACTGAGCTATGCCCTTCAGCCCCCAAATTATTTTTGTACAGTTCTACATACTGCATGACTATCACATACACACAAAAACTCACTGATGTATAGGTATCACTTTTTTTTGAAAAAAGCTTTTTCTTTGTTCCTCTCTCCCCCC